CGTGTTGGCGGTGTCATGCGTGTCTATTCTGCGATCTCTCTCTCTCTCTCTCTCTCTCCCTGCGCCTAACAACGTCGATGGGCTCCTCCTCCGTATCAGCATCCGAAGTCCGTGCCGCCGCCATCCTCCTGCGCTCCCTGTCAAGCTCCTCGTGCGACTCCCTCAATCTCCCCTCCTCCCTAGCAATACGAGTCTCCAACTCGTTAATGCTGTTGTGTTGTCGCTCTCCATGAGGCGCCGACACTCCGTCCTCTCCGGAAGTGTACAACGCAGGCGCAGCTCTGCGTGAACCTAAAAGCATGTCCCTGCGGGCGCCGTATCGAGGCTGATCGAGAATGCGATAAGCAGTCGCCAAACTCGGTGTCGGCCTGTGCTCCTCCGGGTCCGCGCCTGGTGCGCCGCGAAATCACTCCTCAGAGTCCTCACTCTCCTGTCAACTCGTCGCACTGTGCTCCACGGACGGTGAAATGATTGCCGTGTGTCGAGGCGAGGTGACGACGACGTCGGCATGTGGCCTCTCCCGACAACTCTACCCGTGAATTGTGTCGGAGTGCTGTGGGGCACGGTCGGTGGAGGAGGTGTGAGTGAAGTGGTGCGAGCCCTGTGTTCACCCCGAGCCGCTGCCATGGTGGACTCCGAACGATGCTGCTCGCACTCCAAGCTCGCCGGAGAGCCAAAATACCGAGGGGTCACAGGTGTGTACAACGGAGGCGATCGAAATCCGATCCCAAGAGATCCTGCAACTCCCCTGCTAATCGGATCCTCCACCAGTGCACGCTGCAATGCATCAAGGTCGAGTGGCCCCGGTGTAATTTCCCCCTCCTCCATCTATGCTCTGGCGTGGTCGTGAAGGTCAGGTGGTATACCGCCCTCCTCCCTCGACATGCTCCGACGGAACGTCGTGCGCCACTGGTGAAGGATCCCATAACACTAACGCCAAAGACATACTGCCTCCGACCTCCTCTGGATCATCAGCCTGCAGGTCCATGTCGTCACCCCCAATGGGGCCGTGTGACAATGGTCCTGGACCGGTACTAGGCAAAGGTGAAAGTCGTCCCGCAGTATCCGCCCCATCATCAGCCTCCGCACCGGGTCCACGGCCTCCATCCCCATGCTCGTCAGAATCGCCCTCCATACGAACTGCGACAACTGCCTCCTCAGTCCGTACATCATCGGGCTGCAACGTGTCCGCCACACAAAA